TACTTTTGCTCTATTGTGCTGCAAGTTTACATTGATTTCATGATTTACTAGGTTTATGTGCAATGTGTGCTTGCCCTTCCACCACTATTTTTCATATAGTAGCAGTAGCGGGACGTACAGTGAGGATTATTGTTGAAGATCACGCATTTTTATAGGCGTTGATGTAGAATCGGACAATACGTATTCGGTAGTAGAGGGGAAAGCGTAGAAATCACATATAGGAGAACGCTGATACGTCGTTGGTCAACAGCAATTGGCTCCCCATATATGTATTTAAATAATAAACTTATGAGCGAAACTTGACAACTGTTACTACGATTTCATTACTTTCTAGTTCTCAATTTGACAAAAATATAATTGTTTTATTTAAATTTAGTTGAATATTGTTTATAATTATGATGATAATAAGTAAATGGGGAACTTGACGTCTTTCGTTGATTTCACAACTTTCAGGTGCTTCTTTTCACAAGGCTATAATATTTATTATATTATTGCTACTTAAAATTATGAACGAAAGCAATGTAAGAAGGATTTTATTGAAATAGGTACCAGATATCTCAAACTTGCCCATTTCTTTACAGTTTTATGAAAGGGTTAATTTTTTGGAGTTTATTAATTCATTTATATTTATATCTCTATTACTATATTTACTATATATATATTACTATTATTGTTATATATTCTATTTTGGAAAAAGAATTAGCTGGGCAAACGGATAACAGAACAGGGATGCCAGTGAGACGCATACCGGAAGAACATTAGTTTTTTTTTTAGAGGTTTATATTCAGTTTTACATAAAAATGGTTAATACTGTTTCTTCTTTGTATGTACATGGACATATCCTCTGATATGTAGTTTTGTTAACAGTACTATTGACGATGGACATAGAAAGTTTACGCATAAAATTGACGACTCGTAAAATTCACTTCTATGCTACTCAGACAACGCGTTACAGGTATAACGTACATTGATACTTTTGTAATTAAATAAACGTTGGATACATAACATCACACAAGTCTTTGACGAACTGATTAACAATATTAATATATAAAATTATAACAATATAATAATAAAAGTTCAATTGGTAAAAGTTAATATACGCATATAAAAAACAAGAGATAAAACGTAATATCATGAAGTAAATTTTAGAACGTGTAAAAGTTTGTCAATTTTTAAACATCTTTGAGACCTGCTGTGCAGAGCTTGGCAGAAATTTATAAAATACGTTTGAACCTACAGATTTGTAAATAATAATCGGAAGATAATAATGGCACTTTGCACACATTTGAGGGTGCACACGTTCTATTGATTATAGTTAAACGCAAAGGAACTAAAATATATTTACCTACAAGAAATCTTCCGTGGATGTTACCGTAGCCTCTATTAGCAGGCCGAAATCTAATTCAGTCAGACTAGCTGCAAAATGAAAATTTCGTAATTGAAGTGAATCACACGATCGTATTATAATTTGAATTATTACCTTTAGCCGTGAGCAGATCGAGGAACGTGTCCAGAGGAGATAAACGATCCGCTGACGGGAACGCAGCCAGACCTGTAGGCATCAATTTTTGTTTAACAAGACACAGGTGCGAATCCTCTTTTCAGACTTACCGTTATGGTGATTTCTTTGCTGCAACGTTCTGCCACGATTCTGGCATACTTCGCCAGACAAAATATTCGCTGCGTGTTCGCGAGCTCTTAACATGAAGCTTACAGGATGTAGCCACTGATTCAAAAGCCTCTTGGCTCTTGATCTCGGTAGCAAAGACAGCAAAGTTAGCTTACGAACGACGTTTTCCTTTGTGTCGCTGATGTCTGTAAAATTAATCCGATCAAACCTTGAATACGAAAGGAGAATAAGAAAAGGAAATGAATTACGTACCAGCCATAATAATTTTACTGACATCGACTTGTAACTCGAATACTGATCGTTGTACATACTGGAGAAACATTGAATATTTTAATGTTCTGTACCCAAGATAAGTAAAGAATGACGTGAATCCCTGTGGTGCCGGGAACGCGATACTTTCGATAGCTCGCCTGTAACGCTCTAACAATACGAACAATAACCATCGTCTCGCTTCATCCAATTGGTCACTGGAATCACACCTAAACTTTACTACAATCCATCCGCAACTGCTGTTCACATGCTACACGACTTAATTTACCGTTAATAATTCACTTACACGAGGATGAAGCCGCGTTCCTGTTCTATCCGCGGATCGACGCTGGCAGCGCGGCAAAGGATTTGGCAAAGGGCTCGCGAAGTTTCTAACTGCGCTGCTACGTGTCTCGTTGCCATCGCGTGAACATGCAACGGAGTACAAGATCCCTGAACATGCGTTACCGACGTCTGGATTCCGTGTTTCAGTAAGTACATGGATAACTCGCGTAAATTCACGGATACGATATGTTCCTGCTTAGAAGCTGTACAGCTCTCCGTCTCGTTAAATGGTAAAACCGAATCTAATAGTTTACTGCTACGACTACTCGTTAAATCTCCGAGGGATACCGTAGCCACGACTAATCTGCAATATTGTTAGATCAATCGTTATTCACAGGTGATAATGTTACAAGTACGGGTATTATTATTGAGATTAAAACACAGATTTGTTAATAACAATAATTGTTACCCTCCGCTCGGAGACATCGGGGTACTGGATCTAGACAGTGCTTCAGGCTGATAGCATGCCAGAGAGACTAACAATTTCTCAGCAATTTTGCTCGGTCTGAACCTCGTTTTGTCTCCGTTATTTTTACTAAGCTGATCCCACAATCTAGTCCACAGGTCGCTGCGATAAGGGATCAATCTTTGCTGCGGCGACAACAACATTACCGACGTGTTCCATAGTTTCTCGTGACTCAACGTTATACTCAGATCGTTCACTTTGATCTCGAAGCTCACGTACTCTTCCATAGTCGTAACAGGTAGCAAGGCCAATAGAGGTAGAGCGTCTGCCAATAAATTTTTTTGTACCAACGCGTACGAACCGCCGATCAGAATCTCTTGCATATATCGTACGAACTCCAACGATCTGGGTTTCTCTGCGATCGTGCATACTAATTCCGAAATAATATCTAGATCGTTTCTGTGACAGAGGAAGTAATGCAAGATTCCCAGCCGCACCTCTGCCGAACTTTCTTTACGGAACACTTCGATAAGGAAGTCGAATGAAATTGTTAATTGCACCAGATCCAGGGTGGGTAGATCTATTGTTAGTATGCTCGTATTAGATTGAGACGTATTACTTCCTTCCTGAGAAACCGGCTCGTACTTCTTTTTGTTTCCTTTGACATTACTCTCGAACTCGAGCAACGGTACCAAATAAGAAGAGCGAGGCGGGAGAGAAGTTAAAGGACCGCATAATATGTGGCAGCATGGTTCGTGATTCGTTCCAATTTCGAGCAGGTGAGTGAACAGACCTGGCGCGAGAACGATCATGTGATGATGTTCGTAGATCACGAAGGTCGGCCGTATAAGTTTTGCGCGGGACCATGGTATGCCTGGTATGACACAATGGATCACGCAGCTGTGATGGAGAAGCGTTACCGAATACGCGAAATGCACGGTGTTAGACTCGTTCAATGAATTAAGTACATGCTGTTGCGGTTTTACTGGACGGTACAGGTAATGGTGGCAAACACAGACCATTCCTTTAGAGTCACAGACCACTATAAGATCCAACGAGCAATCGTGAACCCTTAAAGGTATAACATCGTCCTCGTATGTTCCACAATTGGAAGAGGTCGACAGTTGAGGTAAATTCAATGGTATGTTCAACTGAAAAATGCTTTAAGATGCATCATACTGCAATATATTATTGGCAAACTGTAATATGTTACGTACCACAGTCTCGTGTGGTAATTCATCGTGGAACTGTAAACCACTGAGAGTCGGATTGGTTCTTACAGATTTATTTTCTTTGTCTTCTTCATTTTCAGAGACCACACTCACTGCCATTTTTCTATGGTGTATATGATACAGAACCTGATTTATCATATCCCATTGGGCCCAGATAAATGTTTTCACTAATGATTCAGATTTCAAGTCTTGTATCGAATAAAATTCTGGTACAGATGTATCAAATACTATGGTGTATATCATAATACCTGCACAATGAATCAATAGAAATTTAGCTATTGCAAGGACTACTCCAATAAGCATATACTTTATGTTAGCCTTACATTCTTGATGAATTAATAATAAAAATTTGTCCCATTGTCCATTTCCCTTTTCTTTATAAAGAAATTGTATTCTCACTTGTTTAAGTTTCTTTGTATTCAAATCGTGAACTTGAATTTCTTTCCCTTTCAATTCGACAATAAACGCTTCATACATTTCAACTTCATTATTTACATCCTGATCTGTTTCATCTGTGGTTTGCACAGATTCTGAACAAGAATCCACAGACACTTTATGCTTCGTCACATATCCAAAAGCTGTACGATTTTGATTAATTGTAGCTTGTACAATGTTTAATACTTCTGAGAATTGATGCAATACCTGCATTTCATTATTCAAGATTTTAATCATAGATTATTCAAGAAGATTTGAATATGAATAAAGTGTCATACTTGTAGCTTATCATTAATCCGGTCGTAATGGCCTATAACGGTATACCACTTGCTTATATCGTTCTCTACGATCTCTTCTGTCCATCCGACTAATAAAGACCCATCCTTCTCTTGACCCAGTAATTTCCACTGCTCGGCTAGAAACCAAACATTAATTTAAATGGCATTTGAAGGCTCTCTTTAAAAATTCAGTAAGGCTTGAGATTCTTACCTGAATGCGCTTTCTCTGGCAAAAGTAAACATAACTTGGCAGCAAGGTTGTCTATCATATCTATTCCTAAACTGTTTTTAATTTTAATTTAAAACAAACCGATTAAACGATTACTTTGTAAAGCACAATAAGTGACACACGTATTTTGACATTATCTGATCTGTCGTCTGCTATGGCTACCAGATACCAGACTACCAGCTGTGCAAATGCACGCGTAAATTTGACGCTAATGACGAAAACAATTTGATGACAAAGGAAGGGTAGTCGGAATTAAGGAGACAGTATCACGATCATAGAGATATTATAGATAGAGTACAGATGCCATAGGCTCGCCTGTAAGTGGAATTGATACGCTGTTAGAAAGAAAACGAAGTAGAAATTTACTACCTCTCTTTGTTTAACAGCAGCAGAGCGCATGCTCTGCATGCATACAGCGTACGTATTCGAACCCATATACACCTATATGAGTACTGCGCATGCGTCGGTAGAGAGAAAGAGGTAGTCATTCTATGGTCATTCTCGTGTTCCTCTCTCTTTCTATTTGCGACTCACGTTTGCAGTTGGCTTCTGTACTCTATGTATACTATCTCTATGATCACGATTGATCACGATCTTATAGGGTGTCCAGATAAGATTGTGGTATACGAAAATTATACATAGAATTTTATAAGTGGCATCATCTAATGGTCTGGACGAATTTTAGTTTGTCCCTTTCACTACTAAATGGCATCACTTGTCAGTTCTAAGAATATGCAAAATAGTCAGTATTGACAGAGATGAAAAGGTCCCCTCTCCAACTACGTCTACTTCCCCTCAAATAATGGACAGCGTGTAGTCAAAGTATTGAACACGTGTGGTGTGATTTGAGATTGTTGTCGACTGTTATTTCGTGATTACTTTACTTCTAAACCTCCTAAACTCACAATAAAGAATATCGTGATATTAAATAAACTAAAAACTAGACTGGTTGCAAAGAACAGACGTAAAGTAAGTATAAAAGCATCGCGTCTAAGCAGTAATTAGCGAATTGTTATTTTTAATTATTTTTACATTTTCATATAGCATGAACGAATTATTAAACGATAAGCGATTTGCGCACATAGCGCGAGATCCAAAATTTAAGAGGATTCCGAAAGCAGAGAGGAAGGTGAAAGTAGACAAAAGATTTCAAAGCATGTTCAGTGATAAGAAGTTCTCAATTAAATATACAATTGACAAACGAGGTAGACCCGTGAATCAGACGTCATCTGAAAATCTTAAGAAGTATTATGATTTACCTAGCAGCGAGGAAGAGGAGGATAGCAGAAATGAAGAACAGCAAGAGAGATTGAAACAGGAGAAGAAAAAGAAGTCTACGCCACATAAAAAGAAGGAAAAGATTAAAAGTAAAAACCTTCCGAACAATGAAATAGATGCTCATGAGGAAAGTGATTTGTCTGATAACTGTTTTTCGAGTAATGGGGAATTGCTTAGGATCAAACCAAGGGAAGAATGCGAGGATACAGATTCTCTTAAACAGAATAAAACAGAGTCTGAGACTGAATCAGATATAGATGATGAAAAGAGTGCAAGGAATTTAAAAGCAGATTTAAAAGAAAGCAGAAGACAATTAAATATCAGAGAAAAGAATGAATCTGGCCAGCTCACCGATAAAGTTAGAACGAAATTAAAAGATTTAAGTGTGAACTATGCAAGAGGTGAAGGAGTTTTAATGACGGACAGTTCTTCTGATGATGAAAGTTCTGAAGCTTCTGGTAATATACCTTTAATTATGAACGAATATATTATTGTGCATGGAAATGACTAAAATGATTTATCTTGGAATTAGACGGGGAAGAAATCGATCACAACTGGGGTGAATTGGATAAGGAAGCTGAGACAACGGATGAAATTACATGTAGATTAGCAGTTTGTAATATGGACTGGGACAGAATACGTGCTGTAGATTTAATGGTTTTATTTAACTCGTTCCTGCCTATCGGTGGTTTTATTCGTTCGGTTACTGTAAGAATTAATAATAACGAAGTTACACAGGTATCTTCGATCATTTTTACAGTGAAAATAATTTCAGATTTATCCATCAGAATTTGGTCTGGAACGTATGAAAGAGGAAGAAATTAAAGGACCGATAGAACTGACTGAAAACAACAAGGAGAGGGAAATCGAAGATGAGAGCGATGTACGTATTTAATATGTTATGTTTAGCAATATAAATAGAATAATTGAGCAATTATAGGGCGAAGAGGGCTCGTCGTATCACATGGAGAAATTAAGACAATACCAGCTTAATCGGTTAAAATATTATTATGCGGTTGTCGATTTTAATTCGGCCGAATCAGCGAATAAAATCTACACGGAATGCGATGGTACCGAATATGAATCCACAGCGACAAAATTGGATCTTAGATTTATTCCAGACGACATGGAATTCGATCAGGTATGTCGTTAAATCTGGAAGCATAACTAAAGTATATACATATTGTATATGAGATTGGATTTCTGATTTAAGACTCCCAAAGAGGTCTGCACCGAATTGCCAGAGCTTACGAAATATCAGCCAAGACTGTTTACAACGACAGCTCTGCAACAAGTTAAAGTAGAGTTAACGTGGGATGAAACGAATCCAGAGAGAGTAGAGCTAACGCAAAGATTGAATTCTGGAAAATTGGATGAAATCAATAAGGATGATTTACAAGCCTATTTAGCGACTGATTCAAGCGACAATGAATCAGGTATTTCTAATTTTCTTTAAGATTTAATACTTGTACTATATTTTATATTACTTGCTTATTATGACATTTTATATTAGCGGAAGAAAAAGAGGAATGTAAAGAAGATAAAAGCGATTCCGGAGGAGAGACGAATGTCGATCCAATCGAAAAGTATAAGGCGCTGTTGAAAGAAATACAGGAGAAGGAAGAGGCGAAACAAAAGAAGGACGTCGAGTTAGAATTCACCTGGGGTTGGGGTGCGAAGGAGAAAGCTGAGAAACTGGTACAGGAAAGATTGAAGAAGGAAGAGAACCTTACACCGTTCGAACAATATCTGGAGAAACGAAAAGCGAAGAAGAAAGCCAAACGGGAGGAGCGAAATAAATGTAAAAATCTGCAGAAGGATGCATTAGATTCTGATGGTTCAGAGATGCTTGATTCAGACCATAACGAAGTCGATGGTAAATCATCCCGTAAACAGAAAAATGGTACTAAAAATGAGAGCAACGCGTCATCTGATAACGAAGAGGAACGACGTAAAGCTGAATTGGAGCTGTTGCTGATGGACGAAAACGACAACGGTAAACAGCACTTCAATATGAAGAAAATCGAGGAAAGTGCTACGATGTCAAAATCTAAGCTGAAACGATTAAGTAAAAAGAAGAATGGTCAAGATCAATCGGCCGAAGACAATTTCGAAGTGAACGTGCAAGATCCAAGATTCAACGCGTTGTTTACGTCGCATCATTTCAATATCGATCCTGCTGATCCTCATTATAGGAGGACTAAAGGCACCGAGACTTTGATCAAAGAAAAATTAAAAAGGAGAGCTGAGAATGATCCCACTGATGTAAGTAAAAGTTATTTAGACTACCGAGGAGAAATTACTGTAGTAACTTAGACTCCAAACTATATTTTCTATCTTTTTATTAGGAAATACCAGCCAAAGAGACGAAGATAAAGCCTAATACAGAACTACAAGCATTAGTTAATTCAGTGAAACAGAAGAGTAAGAACATTACAAGACCAATAAAATAATTTGTTATCTACATGTGTATTTTTTTAATAAGCGAAGACTACTTCCAAAGCTTGGAATGTAGTTTATATATTCTAATAAATTGTTAAAGAAATGTACATACATATTCAATCGATCGCATTGAAGTATGGAGCATGTTTCTAATAAATTATTTAATTTTTACAAAGAAAAAGTGTTTCAATCAGAGAGAAAGACCTTTTTGAATATCGCTGTCGGCCATATATCTTACAACACTGCTGCCACTGCCAGATTTGGGTACGCGTTCGGCCATCCTACGTTTTCGTTTATTCCATGGCGTACACCTCCATTAAAGTAATTTTCCCCTCGTTCCCCACCCGTATGCGCTAGTAGCAGAATAACATCGTCAGCGGTCAGCCATTATCGTGAGATGTGAAAGATTTTCCCGTGTGAAATCGAATTAACCGAACAACTCGAGCTAGTTACTGCAATTTGAAAGAGGATTGCGAACACCGAGATGCATACGATCCCGGAATTGGGTACAAGCGTACCGGCATTCCTTGCCAAACTTTGGAAACTGGTGGAGGATCCTGAAACCGACGACCTTATTTGTTGGTCACCCGTGAGTACTTTTTATATTGTTATTTCCTTGGAATCTGCAGGTTTACAAGTGCAACGTGCACCCGAAATCTAAATAATAAACTTGGCACGTTTGGTTATGAAACAAGAAATGAAAACTCGTTATTCCTGATGATAATCATCATGCGATCGAACGCGTTAAACGTAAGCTAAACGTTGACCTCACATAGTGTACATTTTTACGTACACAATCTATATTTCATGTGCACTCGACGTATGTGTAATTTATTCCCTGCTTACTTGCACGATTATAATACGTTGCGTTCCATATTTTTACAATCATGCGTTCCGTCCTCGTATTATCAGGAATTTATGGCGAGGGAATCGTGACAACGGTCCTTTCCATTAATGATGTATTAATCGTAGGACTAACGTTTTTATAGATCACTCGTCTCGTAATCACGTTTATGGGTGTTTTTTATACGTTCGATCTATACGAGCGTTAATCGTAACGTAAACGTTTTGGACGAGCATCGAGCTTGCATACGTTTTAGGCATTTCACGTGTTCATTTTCATGTTATCATCAAAATAATACGAATTTCATGTAGATTCTATATGATATATGTAATATCGTTGTTTTATGTTAAGCGTTTGTTGTCAAACGTTTCTCTTCCGATAAAGTAAACACCGTCTAATTTTAACATTTTGTTTCTACAAAATGATTATAAAAATGAATAGCTACGTCGTTCGTTGCATTTAATTGTTTCGGTGTAAAGCAATCGGTTTTTTTATTATGTAAACTCAAATTGCTTAACTGATTGATACTTTTTTTATACCGGTTCGATGGTACTCGTTTCACATTCTTATCTGTATTACATAACACGGTTATTACATTCATTGTCAATTGCATTTAAACGTAATCATAAGAAACATTAACATCTTGCAAATTACTTGAGACAAGAGTTGATCACGGCAGGTGCACTTAATTTGTTTTAGAATGGAAGGAGTTTCTTCATTAGGAATCAGGCACAATTCGCTAGGGAATTGTTGCCTCATTATTACAAACATAATAATATGGCCAGCTTCGTTAGGCAATTGAATATGTGTAAGCAACAGTGTATAACATTTTAACGTGTTTATATGTGATAAAATAATAGTTACTGAACGCAAGAATCGACTTTCTAGATGGTTTTCACAAAAAGGTTTCCGTCGAGCTCGGCGGATTGAAATGTGACAGAGATGAAATGGAATTTGCACATCAGTTCTTTTGCAAAGGGCATCCGTATCTTGTAGAACATATTAAAAGAAAGGTATGCACCTCGAACTTATCATAAGTCCAAGAAATATGCGTGCAATTCCCGAATTTCCTCCGTCAGATCGCATCCAGTAAGGGACAAGATCCGGCGCTCACCCCTATTAAGCCAGAGTTGATGAACAAGATGCTTACCGAAGTGAGAAGTATGAGAGGTCGTCAAGAACACCTGGATTCTAGACTCGGGGCCATGAAGAGAGAGAACGAAGCGTTGTGGAGAGAATTAGCCATGCTGAGGCAAAAGCATCTTAAGCAACAGCAGATCGTGAATAAGCTTATACATTTCCTGGTCACTTTGGTGCAGCCATCGAGAAACGGTGGCCTCTCCGTTAAGAGGAGGTATCCTTTAATGATCGACGATTCGAACCGCCAACGTAGTAAACAGGCGAAAATGTCAAAGGTAATTAGATGAGTTCTATGGAACTTTTCTGTATCATCTGCTACAGCGAGTAATTTGTTGTTTGTTTTCAGCCGCAAGCCTCGCCTGCGGGACCTGTGATTCACGAGCTCGACGCATCAGAATCAGAACTTGATTCAGAGTACATCGTCGCAGAGTAAGCGATCATTTCTGTTATCTTCATTGGAAATTTTAATCTTTTAATCAATCGTTTGTTCCTGCGCACAGAATGTTAGAAGGGCACTCAAATCCTTCTGTCGAAAGTCCGAAAAACAGCAACACATCTATAATGGAAGACAGCAATATGGAAACGATTCATCTAGTCGATGATACTGTCCAATTGCAAGACGAAATACAGCTTGTCAATCCGCACGAAGTCGAGTCGAAGAAGAAACGCGGATGTAAGGGTAAAAAGAAGTAAGTTCCGTTAAATTCACCATTGTCTTTTACTTCGATCAGATGATTTTTGTTGAAGTAAGTGCCGCGTCATGTACAATCTTTCAAGTTTTTAATAATGAGATGGGGTCTTGCATGACAGATACAAAGAGATATCGTAGTCTCTTCTGTAAAGGAACATTTTTGCTTCTCCTTTTGCCGAGAGTAGGTAAATGATACAATTAAAGAAGAATCAGTATATAATTCTTTACGACATTCCAATTATTCCCATGCATGGAATGTAATAAACAATTAATGAAATTCGGTACCTTTCCCTTTTCGCTTTGATAAACAACGACATAGGGACATAAATTGTAACGTTTCTCATGTCACATGTCAATAACTTCATCTACGACATTTATTGCTAAAATTAAATCGCATGTTCATAATGGCATATCATGATATGATTATATACCCTGTTGAGAACAGAGAGTAAAAGATATATACATGTATATTCGTAAACGAGCACTTCTTTATAATTCGTAACATTGACTCAGTTCACGATTACTCATACCATTACAATTTAAATAGGAGGAAAAACAAGGTGCCTGTCAAAATTTTGATCCCATCGTTGGAGGATGGAGAAGAACCGAGGTTAACATTTTTCTCTTGTCTCGTCACTTGGTGTTGGTGTTCATACTTCTCTAGAGATTTGTTTTACTTACACGGTATCGCAATTCTGCTTAATTTCATTGATTTTGCATGAACGTACGGTAATATTGCGATAAGAATATCTCTTCTTTCAAAAAAGCATTTAAGCAGTTGACACTAAGATGATTCTTCTTTTCGTCTTTCAATCATGCAATAGATGCTTCCAGATTTGTAATTTTCGATCTACTAAAAGATGCATCTGAGGAAAGTTAAAGTTATACAGACGTTGTTCAAATGGCTAGCCACTTTTATGAGAGAAGTCTTGTTAATCCTTGGTTGAATCACAGTATTTCTCATACGATCTTATAGTTAGCTGCATCGTATTAATATCATTAACATTACTTTTTATTTACCGTTTCGCTCGTGTCTCCTATTACTTTCATTTCATTTTCATCTATTTTGTTACGAAAGGAATAGACTGGATAAGGATAGGATGTATAAATGCATGAATAGTTAGTCGTACAATTATAAATTTTTGTTGGTATACATTACGATTTATTCCATGCATGATCTAAATTATATGTGTAATTATGTTTGTACTTGTAGTTACTGTAATATTTCTCGTCCTAAATGACCTACGAATCGTAAATCAATCTTTTTATTAGAAACATTTTTAAGGAGAATCAAACTGAATTGACCACTAAGTCTTCGCCAGTATTTCAAGTAACACCAATTATCATTTACAGTGAAATATAAAAGAATGAGCACGTTTTAAACAGTTGATGTAATCAGAATTGATTGTACGAATAACATTCACTTATCATTAGAATTAACGATCGCTCTTTAACTTCCTTGTTCGTATTTCACGTATTACTGTGACACTATATTCTGTTATCTTCGTTGAGCAGCTCGCTTCCCATGAGAATTTACAAGAAATACCGCGTGTCTAAGAAAGACTAATAATCGTCTACCATAACAAGTATACTCTGCCACTTAGAAGCATGTTCTACTCTCACATAATACTCTTAGATTCATCTGTGTATGCTCGTGCAATACTTTCATCGGTCGGGATAACGTAGATCAAGAATGATTTGAAAGAAAGAGAGGCAGATCGTGTCGAAGCAACGATTCTTTAAAAGTTCAAGATAAATAAAGATTGGCAAACTGCTTGTCTCACTTTTTTTAGGGAAGAAACACATTTACTTGAAATACCACTAGAGGAAACCCCGGTGGCGATCGCATTGATGGAAAATAAGTCCGTGTCAAAGCCGGTCCCGGTGGCGACTGTGCGCAGCTCGAAACTCACTGCGATGGCAGCGAACATGAACAAGACCACTGACATGGAGCACGAGCTCGAGTTAGAACCAGCTACGGAGGAAGCGGAGGAAGATGTTCAAGAGAACGATCAGACGTTGGTGAAACTGGAGAATATATTGATAGTGCCGGAGATCATCAACGAAGAGGCCGAAGGTACCGTCATGGAGTACGACGAGAACAACGGGAACGATGAGGTCAGCCTTAACGAAGTCGAGTATGGGCAACCGAATAAAGGGGACGGTAACTCTGAACAAGATAGCAGCAAGGCGTGTTACTCGGATGGTGGCGGCGATAAAGTCGACGAGAGGAGGAAAGATGGCTGCAACGAGGCGAACGCAACCGGCTCGAAACATTTGTCTTTGAGTTGCGTTATTCCGAATGGCATCTCTGATGCTGCTTACAGGTTAGGATCAACGTAAGTTCAACGCAGACCATGGATCAGAATATATCTTGCGTCCAGCGCACGCACGATTCCATTATGCGCGGTGTGGTGGAAATCCTTAATCAGAAGTCAGAGGTGGGAGCCAACTAATTTATCACTTATTCAAATACCTTCTTCTCTTTTCGGAATTTTTGTTTGTGAGCTACACACCTTACTAATTAACGTGTGACTCTTTCTATTGTCAGATCTATACATTGGCGATCTAAAAGGTTGCCTTCGATCTAGGACTTTCACGATTATCCGTAAGAGCAATACGAAGAGTAAAAGAAACTCCTTGGTATCATCTTTTACATACTTTCCAAATTTCTTTAATTACTCTTTTTATACACGTGTGTCTAGTTCAGTTTTTTACGAGGACTTCAGAAAATCTAAGGTTCAACTTTGGTCGATCTTGATAGAGTCGATATTGTTCAGAATGAATGGAAACTTTGTCAATATGGATTCACGATGTATAACGTTCAGGATCGTTCGCAGCGATTGAATACCATATTTGTATCGTCTGTTTCCTTCAGAATAATCTTCCCTCTTCATTTAGCGAAGTTGTGAATTAGATTTTTGTCACGTGCTAGTAAAACTGTTATCAACCTTTGGTAATAGAAGTGGTACGATTACTAGATCCGGTCTGCTTCGTTTATAGTTGGTCAAGCGATGTAATTGTTGTTCCGTTAGTCTGTTCGTCTTGTTTATCTCTCGAAGGTCAATTTGGTTTGTGGATTTTTCTAAATACTCCGAAACTTGCTGCAAGATACTTAAAAGAATCGTGCACTGCAAAATTGCCAAAATCTTATTAGTATTTAAGAATACTAAAGAAGACATTGTCAACATCTTTTATGTAAACTTATTCATTAATTGATTGCACGAGCTCTGGTTATGTATAGAGCAATCTTTTTTTCACGAAAGCATATTCACTAACTATATTTAACATTCGAAAGAAAGAGTGCTGAGTAAAGTGCTTGTGCAGTCACTTAAACAAATAGAAAGATTGTACGTTTCAGGGTAAAGGGACTTACGACGTTCCCCCATTTATTATCCATCGAATATTCGACGGAATTGTGTAGATAAATTTCCATTGTCTTATATACCCTAAATACTTACGGTGATTCTCTACATAGGGAGGAAGTGGATTCTCATCTTGAATCAATGCAGACAGAATTGGACAATCTACGTGAAATTCTACGTAGCGAAGGCTATAGTATCGACGCGAACACACTTCTCAGCGTAAGTATCACATTAATTGTGCACACATTAAAAAGATATATTCCCTTCACTAATGATAAATAAGTAGCAGTTATTTGGAGGAGACGATCCGATGTCCTTCGGTATGCCTGTTAATCCTGAGCTGAACCCGAACATCGAAAGGGAAGAGGATGAACACGCTAACGGTACGATCTTTTTCTAAGCGTAATCGAACGCACGATTGAACGAACATTTTTGTATGCATCCAGCAGCAGAGAATATCAATGGAAACGGTGGCGGTGAACTCATGGCGTACAATCCTACTCAGAGTTTACTAGATTTCGACGACGACATTTTTCTGGGTGCTACCTCCTCTCCCGTAACTAACACAGCGGACGACGCAGCGACGACCAGTCTGTATACAGACCCTCTCGATTTGGAGGACAACAAAGCTGCTCTCCTCGAGTCTTTAACAGACGACGTTAACACTTCATAAAATCCCGTTTTTATGGTAAGTTCCACAATCGTTCTTATCTTATATATTTAACAATGAATCATGTCATTTGAAAAAGAGAAGTTTCTTATCGCCGCGGAATATAGAGAGTAATTGCTCATTGTTTGATTTCATTGATTCAGATTCCTTATTTATTTTGGATCGAACCTAAACAGGTTGATACGATTTGTAATAATTTTTCTTGAGTAGTTGGTCACTTAACGCACCTTCGTTAAAACGAACTTCCCCTCGATATCGTCCTTCTCCGAGGTGCAGCCTCGTTTTTCAAAAAGAAGAAGTTATCTTAGGACAGATTTTTTTCCAGGTCGTCTGTTGATCGTTGCACTGTTGCGTCCAATGATTTGGTTTCAGTATGTTTTGTTCTCGACGGATCATCACGAGCATGTTCTCTAGTTCCGTCGCTCTTGATGTACCAAATAAGCAACGAGCTTGATAATCGGGTACACATACGGATAAGTACTGTACCCGAGGGGAAACCAGTTAATCGAATAATACCATCGGTTTACGGAGGACAATAAACGTAATTTAGCGGAGCGCATAAAATCCTCTGGATTTGCTGCTACATGTACATATAGACTAATGATACAAATTTGGTTGTTGTACTAGTATTAACGTTGATCTTCTGTTAGATTCTATTCACAGTATATTCACCGCGGGATCGACGCGAAATTGATAAATGAACGAAAGGAAATTGTTCGTCTTCGATGTATTTTGTAATGGCGTAGTCATTTCTTTTTTTCTTTTTCCAGTTAAACACCAGTGATCTTTTCTTTTCTTTATTTGAAAGTAACGGGAGCACGTTATAGTGACTAACGTTTCTGATTGATCGATGAAGAGTTTCTAGTACCTGCATATTTCATTTCGAAGTATTATTATTAACATTGAATGTATTTATTACGCAATCTTTTTCCAACGACTCGTACTCGTACAGAAACAGTGGCAATGCGAGTAAAAAAAAGACTGAACTAAACGGTATTCGACGAGTATGCATTACTAGTGTTTCTGTACGTTTTTATCATACTTATAATTGTTATCGGTCTTTACTTATTTATTAAATTTGAGCGTTCTCTCACTCGAATTCAAGTCACGTAAATAACGTTTGAACGCAGAACAAGTTATATACGAAATTCGTATTTTTTGTACTAAATTCTTCTATGAACGAAGAGCAACAGCATGTGTGAACACGTTGAATTTGAAAGAATAAATTTAATTGAACAACGCGTCCGAACGTTCTTGTAGATCAAGGTATGTCGTAGTCTGAATAAAAGAAAAATACGACTGAACCAATTTTATATTTTTATAGTAAAACGAGATCGAATCTTTTTGCGTTCGTTTATTCACAAACGTCGACTCGTTGTACGTAAAGCAATATTTGTTTCTTTCCTTTTGTTTGCGAGGACACATCCAGATTGTGATAACATTGTAACGGATCATTAATGAATTCTTTCATTGAACTTCGTGAGATCTTATCTCTGGTCGTTTCTCTTTCTTTTTGTGTTACAAACAAAGTATGCAAATAAGTATTTGGAACGACCAATCGCAGAATGTACATATTTATTACAATACGTAAAATACCATGACACGTTTTATTTTCTACATTAGAAAATATTTAAATTCGTAGTTAAACACGATTATAATACAATCTCTTTTTGTCTTAACAAATACATGTAGATGAAACTGTTTGTACTTGATTATTTTATATAAATACATAGAAAGTATACTTCCGAAATCAAATTTTTTTTTCTTCCTCATATGAATGAGCGACAAACAATTGTAGTTATAAGTTTCATGTACTTCTCAATCTCCTCTTTGATCTACAAGTCAAGGAGCCTCCATTGAACTTCAAAAAGTACGAATATGTATAAAGAAAACTTAGGATAATATGTTTATTTTAACGACGTCATTTAATTTGTATGCAATTAATTTATTGAACCTGGCAAATATGAAATATTCGAATTCTATTTAAAACGATGATACGCATCGATCACAGCTGTACGCAAATTTTTTTTCTTAAAATTATTATTCGGTTTAATTCTTCTTTATTAGAAATTCATTAGAAAACAGAAAACTTGGGCAGCTCGTTAATACGACGATTGGAAACATTTCCCTGTGATTCGGTTCAATTATTTCACAAAACTAGTTGATAGATGTATCAAATTTTGTACGAGTTGACCAATTAAAGTTTGAATTGAATCGATGCTCCAGTTCATTGATTTTTAATAAAACAATCCGATGTCCTCACAGGGAAGAACGAAATAAATATAACACGAACCCTGAAACTACTTATACTGGCAGAACCAGATTTACGCGTCTTGTTCCACGTCGCGAGTCTACATTATGATTGTTTTTTCATTTTAGCCTTGGAAGAAAGACTGCTGGATTTTTAATTACCATTTTGGTAATACGTTCGTTTTAATTAGCAAATATGTCAAGCTGTGGTGAGCCCTGTGAAAAGTTGTAGTATGTGAAACGGGATGACTGAAAATAAATGTTTAAGAGGAGGTATGCGCACAGTGGTTCACGCTCAAAATTTCCTCGAAGAAGAAAGTATGTCGGCATAAAGTGAATGAGAAGCGGTGTAAAAAAAGGTATGAATCCGGAAGAAAGAATTTTATTTTTACGTTAAAGAAACTACACGCAGACAGAAATATGTTCCGTCGTACTCTTATTAAAGAGGGGAGAGTACTATCAATTAAATGCGTGCATCGTATAACGATCCGTACTTTCGCCGATTTGTAAATAATGCAGGATTGTCGCATAAATAAGAGAAAGAGAGAGAGAGAGAGAGAGAGAGAGATGGAGTGTTTTCTAGAGGAAAAATATATACATCCATCGCCTGAGAGTAACAGAGAAAATTTTTTTACATAGTATGTGTACATCTAATGCACAGTATTAATAATAGAAGAGCACGATGCGACGTGTGCACCAGAAGGTACATAAATATATGTATATATAAATCTATACATAAATATATATATACATTATATATATGTCTATAGAAAACTGTGTTAAGAGATATTAAATTGTTTGATAATATTATCATTATATTTTTCTGTAACTATTCTTTCGCTGTGGTGAAAGGTCTACGCGGAGGTCAAATGAGAGATAGTACAATCTAAGATTTCAGTGTCCACGTTCTGCATATTGAGCATCATCACTGCCCCTCTTAAGTTGTACAACTGTGCTTTAAATTCATCAATTTTCATTGTTTTACGATACTCTGTCTGTACTTTTATTTCGCTCCCTTCTCTGTTCAAGTTCCGTTTTTAACACAAGATTACTGTAAAATTTGTTAATTTGTTAAAAATCGTTGATAAGAATATTGCTTTACGTTTAGAAACGAGGTGGGACGAATGTAGAATACACTTAATTATTAAACAATTAGTTTAAGGATTCTTCAGTTTGAAACGAAAGTCTTGTTTTTTTTTTTTAGTTAATAATTTCGCAGACGATTAATTATTGAGCTTTCATGGAATACTGAAATCTTAGTGTTCGCGGAGAGGAAGATAAATTCGCAAACTAGAGTTTATGTACATGAAAAGATAATATAATCGGGATAGCGTATTGTAATCTTCATCGCATTAACATTTTATTACTTTCATTTAGTAAATAAGCAGATCGTTTTTATATTCATTTGTCCAACACTGTTTTTATTACGTTACAAATTGATAGAAAATCTTAGCGTATGTTAAGTAATAATTCCATGTGTACAGTGAAGTGTCAACCATACGTTTCACTTAAGTAGTTTATTTCTCTTTTTCTCCATGTCTTAAAAAAGTAACGCGCACTTGATAGTTTCCTTTTTCTTAGATTCAACTCACACGTTTATATTACTTATTTATGTGTTATTACTTCTAATACATGTATCTCTTAAGTATCTGTCGGTTAACGTCGGCAAATAATTTTGTCAAGTACCAATCGAAGAAGAATATTGACATTGATCTCCTACGAGTGATTTCAATAATTATTCTTATGGTACTTGGAACGATCAATCAAATTCTAAGTATAACTTAGATATTCTTAATTATCTACTAAATTACTGTTGTAACTGACACTTTATTTTAAGAAGATTAAACTACGGGCAAAATAGTGAGAGAATCAAAATTGTCTATCTTGTAAAAAGAGTATAGTTGATACTACACTGCTTGTAGGTATCGAGCATTGTGATACATGCATCAATTTTGTACAAAAGGAGGAAAAAATAGGATACGACCGAACTGATCGCGAACGGACGACCATTCATCGGTCACGAATTCTGTGTTTTGCTACTAATTATAAAACGATATCGATTACGATAGAGTACAAGAATAAATTAAAACGTATCTACGTGTGAAACATTGAGGGGTAAAAAAAAGAATGTCGCCAGTTTTGTTGTATCAATCACATTTATCTTGTAAAATATTAAATACCCATAGCTCCTATTTTTATTATACACCAGTGGAAGTTGACTTTGTTCCGCTGCCTAACAACTAATGTTATCACATGATAAATACATATGTTATACATATACATATATATGTATGTATGTACGTCTAAACAGGAAAAGAAAACGGCCGATTATAAAATCCTGTGGTAATATTATTGAAGATCACAATTTTAGTTGAAGTTACTTTACTCGAGAATAGCGTTTTAACTACTACTAAAAATATATGTTAAATTTGTTTGTTTTTTGAATAAAATCTAGATGATTGTTTAAACACGATCTTATTGCATTGTCCTCTGGCTTGAACGGTTTAACGTCTACATTATTATAAGTATGCGTGCACGAGTGTGTCTGCCTGTGTGTAGAATTGTCAACCACGTAACACTACCAAGAAATTTTGAACAAATTTTATATTATTTAAAAGCGTTGGAAGAAATCTTATAAAGACGATGAACAACCGAATGTATATTACGACAGTAATTAGATGAGACACATAATTATTTATATCTAGAATGACATTATTTTTTTATATTCTATTACCAATAAAATCTGTATTGTGAGCTTTGAAAGAAGCAATTTTTACGTTCTGTAAGGAAAGAACCATTAAATTATGTTTAACGATTACTTCGATCGATTTGTTTTCAATGGCAGCGTTCCGACGAAAATAGTTTAACTCTCAATGCAATGCTTATCAACATAGTTTTGTACTATACGTGTGTATACTTAATCTATGTATAAAGAATCGTTCGAAAACAGCTTTACTATCTTTAATCGTTTATCACCTACCAATCCGAAAGGAATCCTTAGTGACCTTTATACGTTAGCGTAGAAAACTTCTTAATGATCTTAACTTTGATTTTTAATAATTGCTGCAGCCACGAATCTTTCAAGCGCGTATAAAATTTTGTACACATCGTTAACAGATATTAGTATATACTCGTTTCTGTAGCACTGTAATTATAACGCCAGAAAATGGTAATAAAATTCGTTAAAAAAGAATCATAAACTGACTAGTGTCTTGCGTAAAAATTGATCGGTGAAAAATTCTGTTTAAATAATATATTGCCATAGTGCACTTAATTACAAGTTATCACTCATTAAAACTCACGTCTCCTGTTAAATAATAATTAAATACTCCATCTTGTAACTTTTATTCACTCTTTACGTTCGTATAAAGAGTTTCTTCTTCTAGCAAAGTTATCAAATACTTTCTCGTTCCCTTATACATACAAATATGTACACAACACGATGGTTTCTAGCGAAATATTTAAAGATCCCAGAACGATATTATCAAATATCAATACAATATTATTATGCAAAAATTTACCGGAAAATTCTTTGTTAAATTCAACCGCCTTTCATCACACGTTTATTTACAGTCGGTTTTACCGATCGTTTGATAATACTTTTAGTCTTCCCTTACCTTGCCCTTAAAATGCGAAAGGAAGTATTGAAGCCGTCTCTATGGTAAAGATGGCAACGGTGGTAGCGGAGGAGCACTCCCCGGTGAAACGATATCCTCTGTTTGCTTATGCCAATCGACATACAGATTCGTCAAACTTTCAATGCCTGCGGCTGTCATCCCACGGCAGAAACGCGTGTCCAGGTACTGTAGGCTTTTGCAATATAATTTTATAGAGTCGAGCGTGTGGTCCGTAAGTTGCAAACATCCCTGCGAAGACAAAACTAACGTTGAGCTTCGAATCGTTCAACGTGTCGATTCGATTCAATCACGTAGGTACCTGTATCAGCAATTGTTTCAACCTGTGCAATCTTTGCGCGAGGTACGATATTCCAACGTCCGATATATTGTAACAGCGATTCAAATCCAAGTACTCTATTGCCGGATTATTTTTAGATAAATAGTCTAATCCGATATGCGTGATCTGATTTAAAGAGTAATAGGATTTTTAGTGAACGTCGTCAACTACTTTCGTTTGTTCGAACAGACTCGAGCCTGGACCCACCTGTTGACACTGGCTCAAATTCAATATTCTCAATTCCGGAAATGCGAATGCGTGTTTCAAACTGACGTCGGTTATTCGATTGCACCCGGAGAGATCGAGCTCTTGAAGGCCCTTGAGCCTGATCAACGAGAACCCGGAGAACGTGTTCAAAGGCTTGGACACGTTCTCGCAGAGCCGCATGATCTCCCGTTTTCTGTCGGCGTCGCGCACGATCTCTTCCTCGGCCTTCGACCGTAAACTGATTCTTAATCTGGACTCTGTAAATTCTGGTTTATGTACAACTCGTATTTTTTGGACATACTCATGGTTACCAGCACCCATACCCGTTAAGCCAGCGTCACTGACCTCGTCGCATTGGCTTATTTTTAATGTTTGCAAATGTACAAGCTCCTTGAATATCATCTATAAAAGATAAACTTACTTTTATATGCGCGAGCATCGTCGCTGGTACAAAAATTTATGATTTTTACAGCGACTCTCTTAAGTTTTTAGTAATTCCTGAAAGTTCAGGAAAATGATCAGCATAAAATCTACATTCGGTCAATCTATCAATTCGTTAAATTATCTCTTTTCCCTCTTTCCTCTTTAATATCCTTCTCATGAAACGCTAGGATGTTACGATACGACAGGACAAAATGATCTTCACCTACCTGTATCGTTTTATCAGTGACCCCGTTAAAACAGTTACTAAGTTCGAGACGCCTTAAGTTAGGGAAAGACTTCGATATCGATTCGACCGACTCTTCGTGAAGATGCAGCGCGTTCACTGACAAAATCCTCATGTTCTCTTTTCTTATTCTATCCTCTGCGCTCCAATTAATGTCAAGAGAATCGTGATTTACGTTCTCCGAATCGATGTGCTGCTTCATGTCCACTTTGCAGCTTGAGCAGATGCCTCGAGTGATACAATCCGCGGTGAGCTGTTCGTCTTCGGAGATGTCAAGTTCTTTCAAATTCTTTAACAACTGAATATACTTTACACCGTTGTCGGTTACCGAGCGGCATCTCTTTATCTTGAGCGTTTCTAGCTTCGTTAGATTCTTACAAATGTGCAGCAAACTCACGTCTGTGATACGAACGCAAAAGCTAAGATCGAGAACTTTCAGATAGCTTTGATACTGTGTCAATCCTCTGATGCCTTCGATCGTTAACTGATAACATGCTTGCAGTATCAGAGATTCGAGTCTCAAATCCGGCAAAGCCGATAAGGTGGCTAAAGCGGTGCCATCGATCAAAGTGTAACCGAAATTCAAATGTTTCAGCTTTGACGCTTGTTGCTTTAAGTATTGAAGCGTATTGGCGAAAGTGAGAATCGATTTCGAGGCATCGCATAACGCAATGTTCTCTGGATAAAATTTTTTATACAACCCGCAATGAAACGATATCTGACAGCCCATTAGACTGAACGACTCCAAATTCGGGCAAATGGCAACTAGCCTATTGAAAAGAGCGTCGCTTAAAAACCGATTATGCGCGAGACTCAGTTCTCGAACGTTTTTGAACGTCTGTGCCAGCTCCTTTATGTCATTCTTATCTTCCAAAAGCCTGCCAGACATCAGACATTCTCTGCACGAATTAATGCGCAATGTTCTCAAGGATTTTAAGTATTTCAAGATTTCTACAAGCGTCTTCTCACTCAGGTCGCAGCGATACTGAAAGGCAATGAACAAAGTTAGGAAGAAGAAGTTAATAGCTTCTTAAGATAATACAAAAATGCAATCATACTAATACTAGACTTTTCATTTGAGGACCGTAGTGATCCCAGATCGGCATATTTCTCTTCAATTCTACTTCTCTAAACACAAAGTGGTAAAACGGTCTTGTAGAACGCTGTAGAACTTCGAACACTTCGTTCAGATTGTCTGCACGAGGCCTGCCAAGGACCAATTCTTCTTGATCCAGAAACTTTCTGGCAAGAGAAGCTTCGTGCCATGTCTGATTCACTAGTCCTGCTGATATCCTATCAGACGTGGATAAATACGACATTATATGTATGATAACCTGGAAGTAAAATGTATCTCATTAATAAAGTTGTTGAAATATGACAAAGGATATATAATGCATCTTATGGACATCTTGTATTAAAAAAAGAAGCAAGCATTCTAACTTATGAATTACTTAAATTACTTCTATCCATTACAAGTTTTGCACACGATTGCATCCAGCTAGGTTATCACGAAAGTAATAGTTATGCTGCGAACATTTAAAAACCACAGAAAGGAGTAATGACGAACCTCTTGAAAGGAAAAATGGAGCTCATGTTAAACAGAATAATAATGAGATACTCACATCTATAGGCAATTGTAAATTATCCGTTTCTGTCAGGAAATTCCTACTTTTGTAGTCGGACATTATCGCCGTAACAAAGGAAAGGAAAAGCTGAGATAACGCCAAGAGTCTTCTTATCGATAAAAAGAATTAAGCGATTGTACGGATTTATAATCCGCGATTAGAAACGAGAAAATGAATCTCGTACGACGATCGAGTCATTGCTGCTCAGGTGTGCATGTGCATTACAACTGTTCCCACGATAGTCACGTGCTTCTCGCGCATACTGACATCGCACTGTAAATAAATCTGATTTCCCGTTCGTTTTAATTTTTACTTCAACATCACTACCGTTGCGTTTGCTTCCGCATCACTTTACAAGTAATCTCTACTGCGATAAACTTTCATCTGAATCCAATACTATATTCGATGTGTTACATTAATTTACATTATATACGACTGTGAATTTGCTGGAACGATTACGTGAAGCACAGCGGGAGAGATTCCTTTATTTAGGTTGATCAGCTGATTTGTCAAAACAACGAGTCAGCTGGATGGATCTGATGGTCTATGTGCCCCACTTTTCGGAAGCGCCGAAAGTGGAGGTAAATTGAAAACTCGAACACGATTCTCCTCCAAGTGCGCGATATGAATCAGAATTTTTCAGCATAAACCGGTTATCGAACATGTTTGCGAGCAGCCGCAGGAAGAGGACGAAGTAAAGAACGTCAAACGAGGAAACCGAATTTGGACAAAGCTGACACGATGGTGTTTAAGGCAACGGATACTTTACCGAAAACATCCGTTAACGCGTTGGTGTTTGAAAAGCACGACCGCCGTTAATTACGAGATTTCGAGGCACCTGAAATCGCACTCTCTCATGATACACCCTTTTAGCTCGTTCAGGTCTTCTTTACATTTTCCTCCTTATAGTCGTTTCTCTTAGTCGTTAATAATTGCTAAACGAATTCTAATACTTCATAGAATATTTTGGGAATCGATTATGGCTGTGTTCACCTTCATGGCTCTTATGGTGACCCCAGTGTCCATCACGTTTTATTACGAGCAACACGATCATTGGCACATGATCAATGATGTGATGAACTGTATGTTCTTGTGCGACATCATCATGTGGTTTTTCACTGGATATTACGACTATGGAACGAAGGTCATCGTTCTCGATCCTATAATAGTGGCACGGTACTTGCATCGTTAAATAAAATTGTTTTATAAAGGCACCTCGTCTGGAATTCTCGTTACGTTACAGGAAATATCTGCAAAGCTATTTCTTCCTCGACATTTTAACTGCACTACCTATACAGATAATTGACTTTCTCGTACCGAAGTCGATATGGTATTGTACCACGTTGAACATGATGAAGATATTGAGGCTTCGGAATATCATCGTCTACGGCCGTAGACTTCGCGACGTTAGTCGATGATGTAGATTTACAAAGGGATTTATTGTGACACGAGTCGAAATAAGAATGGATCTTCCAGGTGTATAGAATAAGTTTTCAAAAGTACAAGATTTTGGAAATGATCGTACTGATGGTAACAATCGTCCACTGGTGCGCCTGTCTCGAATACTACGTTCCGCTGTCCGTGAAAACGCTAGGGACGCTACGGAACGAGTCAGTGCAATTCATATTATGTTAAAAATTATTGTTTAAAACAACAAACGATACTGAGATATTGTTACTTAGTTCCTGGATTCATCACCCCCTGCTTGAATCTAAAGAAACGTATACACAGAAGTACCTGGTATGTTTGAACAGGGCAATCGTCGCATTCGTTCGCTCTGCTCATCATTTAGGCATGAAAACCAGGGAAGACATTGTATTGAACTTAATCATAACGATCATCGGATACTTGTGTAGTCTCTATTTGCTATGTAAATACTACTAAAAATCAGCGAAATCAGGACCGTGTCGGTTAGTTTGACTTGTTGTTGAAATTAATAGTTAATTGCTTGCAGCGCAATTTTCCCAGTTGCTGACCACCTTTCAAATAACGGTGAAACGCAATCTGAAAATAATACAACAGCTCCAAGATTATATGCGGTATAAGGAGCTACCGTATGCTTTGCAACGTCGCTTATTAACGTACTATCATTATCGGAACAAAAGGGATTTCGAGAGGAACAGGAAGGTCGTCGACGAAGTCTCGCCGTATCTGCAAGAGGTTTAATCTTTACTAAAGTACAATGTTGCGTCCCTTCCATCAACAGTGATATTTTTTCTTTCAGGAGCTAATATTAGATAATTACTCGACGCTGATTAACAGCGTGGAATTGTTTAAACATTTGCCGGACACGGTGATAGTACAATTAACCAGTACTATAAAATCCGAGATATTCATGCCCGGCGACGAGGTCGTTAATGCAGGAAGCCGCGGCGATGCTTTATTTTTCATATCTGCCGGAACTGTCGCGGTTTATACCGCGATGGGAAGAGAAGTAAGGATAACGTTATCGTTGCTTCGTCGACCCCGATTCCTCGTTTCCGTTTTCACCTTTCTATTTCCTCGGAACGTGTAGGTCTGCCATTTGGAAGACGGAAGTTATTTCGGCGAGATCGCTCTGGTGATGGACAGCGAGCATAGAATAGCGACGATCGTCGCGGTGGAGACCAGCGAGATCTACATGGTGTACCGTGACGACTTCCGGAGAGCCATATCGCCCTATCCCGATCTCTTGAACCGACTGCAGAACGTTGCCCTCGAGCATTTGCGCAACAGCCTCCTTCTGGATACGGCGCAAGAAATGCTACACGAGACACCGCAGTATATCAACATAAGTAGTATACAAAGCAAACGAATGAGATAATTATAGATAATATCAGAAACGAGGACCGCTGAATTGTCGTGCTTTAAATACAAGTGTTCAAACTAAAATTAAATCAGTAGCGATAGTTTCTTCGCCTGTACGGATTTTTATAAGACTGTTGATAGACCGACATGAGCCTCCAGTGTTCCGGGAAATCAGCGTCTCTAGTCTTGTTAACTACGTTGAACGGAGGCGCCAAAGTATCGATGCAAAAGCTTCTTTTAGCAAATGGTGTTCTTGGTTTTGGTACCATCATTTTGTTCGCGCCTTTATCCTGAATGTTCCCAGGCTTTTCTGTCCCCAGCGCCAATCCGACGGCAGATTTGATCAATCTAGGATCGTCTCCCATATTTTTCGTCCCGCACGCAATGCATTTCCTGAACGGTGCTCTCCTCGGCTGTTCTTTCATCTCGCTCTTTTTCGAAATATTCACTCCGTTCAAACCTTTGCAAAGGCAATCGCAGCAACACTTTGCACTTCGTTTATGTTCCTCTCTATTTTCATCGACGCGTGTGTCGTTCGCTTGCCGCGACTGATCTTGACAGGAAATCGATCTTCCGTTGTTGCTTCTCGCCGTTCCAGAATGGATGGTAGCTTTGGCTAAAGAATCGTGTTGGACGAGAGTAAATATAGCCGGCGCAAGTCCACCGTCGGAACCGTCGATGTGAACAGGTTTGGGTGACTCATACACTGGATCTATAGGCGTCTCCCAGCAAATAGCCAGATCCATTTTCGACTTGGGCTCCTTGCAGCCCAGTGCCGGTTCACAGCGTTTGCTCAGATTCGCGTAACGAGCTTCCACTTCCTTCATACAACAGTCGCAACATTTCTTGGACGAAAGGTCACAGCAGCATCCTTCGGGTCTCTTAAAAACTGAATCATCCACCTTATCCGGAAGCGGTTGATGCTCCAAATTTTCCGCGTGCAGCTTCTTCGCTATGGCAAAATGATCATAACAAGTTGGTCTACGTTCCGATAACGGTAATGCGACGTCCTTGGCAGTTTCTTTTCTTTCGTGGTGGTCTGTCACGTGTTTCTTCATAGAAGATATTCTCAAATTTCCGGAAACGTAACGCGGCTGGCAACACTCGTGAAAATCGTCGCTTCTCGGAGCCACAAGTTTCCCCGGGCAGTGGGTGCAACACTTTTGAGTCTTCATATTTCGCAGTCTTCATTACCTCGTTCCTCTTCAACGAATCAATTTAGAGTTCTCATGCAGTTGAAATAATTTCCAATGAAGCCTTTTGTAATATACATTTCTCCGAACATCTCTATCAGTTTTCGCGCTTGGCTTGAACGAGCGACTGTAGGAATGCCGATTGTTACCCCTACGATAATGGTTGTTTGCTTGACGACGGGATAGCTCGATAATCGCGATACTGTACATAGTTGGACAGGGCCAATGTTGGCCCAGGTAATTTTAGAAGGTAGTTTTATGGAGGTCAGGACGTTGCGAGAAACGTTCCTCGTAATAAACAGATTACCTATTCAATTGCCGGCTTACAAACCGTAGACCCGACACGGCTGCACCTATTTTTAATATTACAGTATTGTAATTATGCTCATTCTTGGAAAATGAATGATCATTTTCACAGATTAAACAGGATTATTTATATTTGCATCATCAACAAATTTCAATCAAGCGTACACGTCCAAGCGTACACGCGACCAGGAAACTTCCCGAGGCAGTTAACGATTCCCCGGTATGGTTGCACAACCGAGCGTGCGTGAATCGGCGTGCTTCGCATCGGGAATTACAAAGCACTGTGGGGAAGTACGATGAATCTTTGGAGCGTCTACGACGGAATTGGAACGTATAATGTCTCGAGGAAGTCGCTGAACGTTAATCTACGTACAGACGAAAGACGTTTAATAGACACTATGTTACTGTTACTAAGAAAAGGCGGTAATTCTGCTTGAGGACAAGTATATGCGATTCGCGGATGGGATCTGCACATTATTTATAACCGCATATCGATGATCTCGCGGGAGTCCGTTGGAGTAATGCCATTCCCCCTCTAGCATGCGAGAACCTTGACATATAACGTAGAGGCGTCTTTAAACATGACTAGGACGAGCACGTGGCAGTCGCATACGACACGCAGATCCCGAATCGTTTCGTTTCGCCACATTGCATTGTAAAAATCTGATTAAGTATATATAAAAGTACGAATCCAAATTGTTTCGAAGAAAGGAAACAATTACCGATTATTTACTTCTAAGGACTGACCCGCAACTCACTCAGGACAAACACAGCACAACGGTACAAGCTGTTTTCCGTGTAAAGAAACGGTGCTACTCTGTCATTAATTTCAGCAGAGTAAGTAGCCTTGATATAAATGGTAAATCCAGAGTTTCTCCAAGCGGCATGACGTTTCTTTCGTGACATCACGAGAACGGACATGAATCAGCTCGCTTCTATCTACTAGTGAATGGAGAGTGGAACTATTGAAATGTTGCTACCGAGTAGATCGGTTTCAGTTAAACGCGCGTTGACGGTCGGAGTCGCGACGCTAAGGGATTTAAAAACTGTTCGAAGTGGAAAGACGAGCGCGTTATGCAAACACGACGTGTACCGCGTTAATATTCAGCGGAGATAACTAAGATTCTTGCAAGTCTGATCTGTGTCTCGTTTTCTCTCATCTTAAAGGAACTAGCAGGAAAACAAGAAAGAGGAAGAACTTGCAAAACGTGGTGCAAGAGTTTAGCTATCAGTGCGTCGTTTTTGATGCTGACCGAATAAGATTAAATACATTCTTTATCGAATAAATTATAAAAGATCGGTATCGATAAACTATGGCTGAGAAGAACGACAAGAAAGAAGAAATTATTTACATGGATGACGTGGACGATGAAGCGAGGGAACCACTGACTTTCACACCGCTGGAAGGTGCTACGTTTAGACCGAGGTCCGGGTCTATGCTGGAAACGGATAACACGAACAATCCGCGGCCAACGTCCGGTCCAGAAATCGACGACCTTCTACCGGATGCGAAGCCTCCGATAGGATTCGATACTCGGGGAATAGACGATGGCCTTCTGCCGAGCCAACCTGAAATTCCCAGACGTCCCGACGAGAATCCGTTCTTTCCGCAACCGCCCGTTGTTCGGATACCCGACGTGAATATTTATCAACATAAGAAAACCCTCGCTCAAGGCATGATGGACTTGGCTCTTCTCTCCGCTAATGCGAATCAATTGCGTTATGTTTTACAAACCGACGGTGGTCATCCGTATTTCTATCCCTCTTTAACGTTGATAGGTGTCAGCTTGCTGCTGCAAATCGCGGTGGGAATCGGATTAATTTGGAACAGTAGGTACAATGTTAAGAACGACAAAGAAATGTGCAAGGCTGCACGAGCAAACAATTGGACAGTGATCGGTATATTTCTCGTGACGATTTGCAATGTTTTTATCTCGTCGTTCGGTGTCGTCGATCAAGTGACAGTAGTAGCCGCACCGGCGGCGGCGGTATAGGCGACTTCATTAGTGAATAAAGTTGAAAGTATTGCAATGACTAAATCGCGGCTGTACGATTGTGGAGCATTCGGTGTAAGAATGTTGTAAATTGACGATGAACAATGTTTTCTATATTTGTAAGTTAAACTTGCACGCAAGAGGGGATCGACTTTAGAACTTCTTGCAATTTCTTCGACAGTTTCTCCTTTCTTTCAATTAAATTCCCTGTTTCTTTGTTCAATTCAGTAGTAAGTTCTGTCAACCAGTTTTCCACTTCCGTGCCATCGCCTTTAAATCTGAGCAAACGGGAAACACACTGAGGTTTGTAATTCTGTGAATTCCCCGAATCCGTTTTCGTCAAGGATTCAAATCTCTCTTGCGTAACGCGTTTCAGTAGAGAAACAAACTTTGAAACCTCGTTCCAGTCGATATCTTGCAAACTGGAATCCAAAGACTTATTGTGTTCTTCGACTACTGTTACCTGTAAGTGTTATTACTATTGTCTACACTTTTTATAACGAAATATACGACGTACGAAAAAGAACTCGAAATATTTACCATCCATTCAAAGAAGACATGTTCCTTCTTCGACCATTTCATGTGAATATCTAATAAATTAGCGATAGCATGTAATTCTTTTATATGCTTTTTATCTTGAACGGAAAGCGTGTTCGTGGCTGAAATATGTTTCACTAGCGCTGCTTCTGATACGCTTAAATGTGGAAGACCACTGACGTTAATAGTTGCAGCATGAGCTTTGGCCGTTAATTTTATTTTCTCAGATACAAGTTCAGATATCTCTTTTATGTTGTAATTCACTTTGCCGTTCAAATACAGTGCATGATTTATCTGTGCAGTTAATGATAACGGTATACTATACTTGGTTCCCTTCTTCTAAAAATAAATAATTTCTAAATACTGGGTTCAATTCATATCGTTATTTTTACGTATGCCTCATAATTACTTGTAATTTATTCAAACTATATGAACATTCCCTTCCTAATTGACTCTTCGTCAAATTGATTCGAGTAATAATATTCAGAACGTTCTGCGTTCCAAGAATCCATGCAAATGCTAATAATAACGGTCTATTATTTTTACTATGTTGGCCCGAGGCGTAAAACTCTATCGCGGAATAATTTAAATATGCGAAGTACAATTTGGTAGCCCCGACGACGTCTAAAAATAAGTTTATTATGCAAAAAATATTTCAGGGAGTATTTCGACGAGGCAATAGAACTCACCGCAACGTAGAACGCCGATATCCATTTGTTTCTCTTTCACGGCATGATAACTTAATATGTTCAACACTTTCCAGAATTCGTCACTCTGATCATGAAAACAAAAACGTTATTACAAATCACGACCGCATCGACACGTGTAACGCGAAAGGTTATAACGCATGACACTCACGACATTTTCGGACGCGGTGTTAAATTTCGCTAGCCTAAAATGTTCAGGTTTTATCGACACGTTGATAGACAGATTTATATGCTGACATAATAAAGTTAAAACGCTTTTTATATCGGACATTATCACGTTTTGAATTCGTTTGACACGTTTCACACGTTTTTCTCGGTTCACGTGACTCGCTCGCTTCAATGCTCGCGACCTTGACCTCCTACTTCAAACGTTTAACAAAGCCATCCTCGTGCTCTACATATGATCGCTCTGAACGTAAGTTAAAATACTGATATACGTTTGGAATTTTGCAAATATAAATAGTTATTATATTATTTATTATACAAGGGAGTGCTAGTAAAATTGACGACCAAATTTGTATGAAATTTGGTATACTCCGACCCTTTGGGATTATAGAATATAAACTACGGTCATTTAGAACACTTGCATAGCCAGAACAACGTTAAACGCGTAGCGTTTTATAGCCAGAACAACTTAGCGAGACTTCAGAAAGGATCAGGCATGCTATTTATTATTCCTCAGGGTACACTTTTACTTACGGATTCAAACGAACGCCGTTTGCTCAGAGCTTCACGACTGAACAAAAGAACCAAGCGGTGTCAGGTGTAAAAAATAAGCTTGTACAGCAGAGAATGAATACTGTTCTACCTTTATCCGCTTGTTTTATTGCACGGCCGGCCAAGTGTAATAACAGATAGACGATGAGTACCATACCTACGACTCCAGGGGTTAGAACGCGGGATTACCGAAGGGTACCATAAATTCTCGTTGCTTTTATCCCAACGACTGACGTTTCGTGATACTTATACCAGGCCTGGCTAATCCAAATCATTCCACGGGCCGCATTTTAGGTACGCTCTTAAAAAAAAAGCTTTTAAAAAGGTAATACAAATACAAAATGAAAAAATTAAATGAAAATAACAAAATTAAAAATGTAATACAAATCCAAAATGAAAAAGCTTTACTATGATTCAATATAATTCAGTTCAGGAACAGATTCTTGTTTCTCGCAAATTTCCATTTATTTAATATTTTTTGTTAGATACAACGAAACATAAAATATACAGAAATATAAAATCGGCGGGCGGGCCGCAGGCCGCGTGTTGGCGAGGAGGACCAGGTCTGTATGCCGACCAATACCAATGCTATGTAGCTCAGGTAATCATCCCTGCCCTTACCCAAATGTCTACTTGGAGCGTACTTACCTGCTTGGTTCGTGTCCTGAGGCATTAGAAACCGCGTTTGCGAGGCCTTTATTACAGGCAACCGAGAACCCCACCTCGTGCTCGAGGAATCTACAGGACTGATAGGGGCAGGACAGGTCAATCGCGTACGGTCGTCTGAACGTGCAGGATCGCCGAGCGATCCGTCCAACGGCTTAGCTTGCTCTTCGTGTTTCTATTTTATTTCCGACTCTGACGCGCACTCGCAATTATCAGATAGCACTCGTAACGAAGTCCCGAGCTTCTCTCCATCATCCTTCATCCGACCAAGTGAAAGAGACTTGTACGCTACTTGGACTTACGCTGTTCACGGATTCCAGCATCGAGAGACTACGGTTTTCGGTTTAGAAAAGTGTAACAGTGAATTCTTTTGTTGTGACTGACGCAACCCGACGAAATGGGACGAAGATACGACGGCTTAATTATGAAGCTCACCGAATTTTGCTTCTTGATAGCACTGGTAAGGATATACGTTTTTTCAATTATATATTCTGTAGTGTTTAGCATTGTGTCAACACGGCGTAAATTCGCGTGACGACAGGCTTGAAAGGAAACCGAATAATTCTGAATATCTCTCAACGTCTCCAACCAGAATAATTCCTTGCGCCTTGGCTTTTACAAATTTCAGTCTGTAACAATTTGAGCGTCTCGTAGATTTCGGGCAAAAATTATTCGGTTTGAAAAATAAAGAAGCGATGTCCCTATATGATGTGCATATTTTGCGTATTAATTAACGTCCATTATATATAAATGCATGTATTTACGTAACACGGGGCCTGATATCATGTAACTGTATCTTGATAGTCAGGGTGAACCTCTGTGTCAAACAGAGTAGATTACTTCAATACTTCTGTCATCGCTCCGATTAACTTCATTCTAACTTCATACATTTAACTTTCGATTCCTTTAGCTCCGAGTAAAGTTTGCTCAACTGTTCATACTCAGGATATTCCTGTGTCATTTGAATTAAACATTTATATATTATCCAGAATTCCATATAGAAGATCGCATGCAGCTATAAAGCAATAAATACTTAAACATATGTTTTAGACGATCAGACATCAGTACTCCTTCGCCAATGGCGATAAATTATCACGTCATTGACCTTCGGTTAAAAATAATCCATGCTATATAAATTGATATTTTGCACATATAATAACGATTTATTGATTATCTTAGCTGAATTTCTACTGTTTTTCAAACTTCTCGTCGTCCTCTACAAGAAAAGTCATGTGCAATTTTTCCGTAGATTCAACGGTTTGGGAGATATTGGCCAAAAACGAAAATTTGGAAGAAATTGAAGGGGTACCCCTTGGAAAAATCTCGGAAAAATAGAAAATTTTTTGTTGTTGTTTATTATTAACAATGTTCTTCCGACGTCTGATTTCTTTTTAAAAAATGCGTTTCTAAAGTGCATAAACTTTTGAGATTGACTGTATAGCCAACTAATACTAATTGCCTGTTTATCGCGTCCTCCTGTACTATGTTCCCAATGAAAATTTTGAATATTTCGTTCATTGAAAGATCTCGAGAAATAATGTGATCAAACGCTTGAGCACAAGTTTCGTGCGACTTTGAAGTCTCGGATAATTTATATTCATTAAGGAAAAAAGAAGAAGGATAGTTTGCGAGGAAAACGTGTATCGATCCTTGGAACTCCTTAATCAAACGATGAATATAAATAAAACAAAGTCACAGACTTGCTACTGCAGAGACGGAAAGAAAAGAGCTTCTAACAAATGTATATTTATCTTGCTGATGAAGTACGCTTCGCGATAAGCCAGCAATTTTTATTTCTTTACTTTTTCTTCGAAACGATGAATTTTTATAACTTTCGTATTGCAATGTTTTTCTACAGATTACACCAAATGTTAGTGCGTACCCTTATGCAAGCGATGCCATTCAATTTGACATTCACAGATCCCTGGCAGATACAGATGAATCTGTTAGAATGCCAGGTACGATATGGATTTTCTAATAAGGCGATCATGAAGTATAGGAAGTATTTGATATATTATTCCTTCCCCCCAGGTTCGTCAAATAGGGATCGAATGTATTCCGACGGTAGCATCGTATTCCCCGGGGACGAGAGACAGGTGCCGGTTTGCAAAGGAACCACTTATTGCGAGAAGGTGAATTCTTATCCGGAAGACTTGATAACAAAGGCGTTACAAAGGAACAATAGTCTCAGATACCTGGAAGGTGTCGATGTGGTAAATATCTTATTTCTCAAAAAATATTATAATCTTCGCTTTGTTCGACTTATTCTAACATCTGTTATTCTGTGTATTCTTAGATACCAGACTTAGTGCAGAGGATCGACGTAAGCGATATACCTCTCTGTCGGTCAACTGTACGTATAATCTACGAAATCATTTGTTTCATAAAAAGAGAAGCTAAGCGTAATATAAAAACTTTACTCATTCTTTCAGGAAAATGTAATATTCCCTCAGTCGGCGGAAACGAAGGATAACGGGTGGAAGTTCGTGGCGAATCAAGATAACTTGAAACAGGGCGTACGAATCGAAACGTGCATGTAAGCATCGCGTCAAAAGTTTTTCCTCGACGGTGTCTTGTTTGATGATACAATAATAATAATCGATCTGTTTCAACAGTATCAAGGAGGACAACAGTTGCACCGTGGTTGGCGGCCTCGCGGAGGGTTACAAGACGACCTGCAAACAGAAGTACATCTACAGGCAGCTACTGTCGTTAACGGACGGTTCGGTGATCCCGGAGACGTTTCGATTCCCGTCAAGTTGTTGTTGTCACGTCAAGTTCGTCGGCGATCCAACGACGAGGATGGGTGTAAGCTTCGGTAGCCAGAAGAGTCAAGTTACGCCGGCCAAAACGCGTAAAAGGAAATAAACGGTTTGAATCGATGTTACAAACGCGGATGCAAGAAAGGACTTTCTTTCCTAGAGCGTTCGTCAATGTCCTTTCGACTCCCAGAGACGTTCACCGAATACAGGTTTACATTCGTCGCCGACAAAAAACAAATCGCGAGGTACATTCTGGAAATCTAACAGCATTACAGTACCTTAACGTTATGTGAAAAATGAAATAGTACCTTGAAACAAAACAGATATAGCTCACATTATTTTGCGACCTCGCAATTTGGATTTTGATACACGTCCTTAATATGTACATACAGACACCCATATATATGTATAGAGAAAAATATGTAAAACTTTATACAAGATCGTTTAACAGTTCAGCTGGTGAAGCTAAGCGTCAGGGTACAAAAGACGCGCGGGCGTTTCTTGAACGGAATCCATCTCTCATGGATATTTGAAAATCGAGTTTAAAGTACCGTAGCTGTTTACCGGTTTCTTAACGATTACAAAATGTATATTGTAACAAAGGACGAGGCGAATTTCTAAAACGGACACGGATCTATATCTCATGTGATACTGTGTGATATTATAGTTATCGACATTGATATTGTGATTATATAGAATAAGAATAACTTTTTTTTATATACGTAGTGTTATAGCGTCAATAACATTTCCCGTTGTACCTATAGACCTTATTTACTTTAATGTACAAAGAAAATAAGTGTGGAAAGTAGAGTATCTTTGATTGTATCTACGAGACCTTAAGAAACCGTTTGAATATACATTTGCAGTTTGTAAATACACGAGTTTTTATTCTTACGTGCGTTAAATACAGTACCATAGTTCTATCCTATTAATTATTGTTTCATCGTAAACTATACGATCGAATCCAACACACATTACGAATTGCTCGCTTTACAGTTTTCTTAGAGAAATTTTGAAGGCTCAGTGAAATATCTATGTTACAGAGGGGTGCAAGTGGTTTTAAGAAAGTACATCTACATCTAAATCGATACATTTCTCCCTTTTCCTTTTGCTTATGTAATAAATTTGTAGATTTAGACTGGTCCAGAGTATACACATATAAAAGACTTATGTAAATTTAAATTTGGATCGTCCGGAACACCCCGCGTTTCCCTTCGACGTTTAACATGGTCCATTATCACGTTCTCCGAGAAATCACAATTTTTATATTTAAAGTATAATAAACGACAGCTAGCATAATCCACGTGGTTTAATTCGAACGGTTACAGACTAGGCGAATACGTATAAATCATTTTTCTCGTTTACTCAATTTTCTTTCTTAATTTTTTTTTTGACACACCTACGTTCCGAAAAATTACCTAATGTAGGTCTCTACACCCTGTTCAGGGGTGAATACAGAAATAGGAAGAATGGGCCGTGCTTTGTGAACATGGGACGTTCACTATATATACGCTAAAAATATTTATCCATTAGTCAGCACAGGTGAACTATGCAAAATACACTTCTTTTCGCTTGTTTTCCTTTTTACAAAAAGTCTACTAAAGGGGAATACTTTACAGTCGCACTTGGAAGTATAAGAACCGTATGTAATACTTAATAACGATATAAACCTACTACTTTAAAAGTTGTTTTCACATAGAAAAAAGATAGAACAACTAAATACAATCAACGTGTAATATAACAACTAATACGCTAGTAGGTTACCTTGTATATCAATAAATGTAGATTTCTCTTCCTCAAATGGTAGATAATATTGTATAATGATAAAATATGTGCTTAAAAAATGTTGCATATAGTATGGCAGTTTTTGTTTCTATTAAGTATAGCCAGTCTTTACTGTAGAATAACGATTCAAACAGAGTGGAAGTTAAATGCACCGTTGCAATAAAAAAAAACATTGACTTTAGCTGCGAAATCGTCTCTGTATAAATGAGACTGATTTTTAATCACCATTCAACTTATTATTTTAGAACTGATTTCTGTCTGTCTTATACGTAAAACATCATCTTTCCAACATGCTCTTAAAACGCAACGTAACTGTATGATCATCTTAATAGAAGGAACACAAGTGTTAAAACTCAGTCATATTTTGTTCTGTCGTAAGATTATTAGCAGGGCAGCTTGGAAGTGCGATTAATTGCTTTTAACATGCCTGAAATAAAGACGGTATGAAATCTGATCTCATCGTAATTTGCAGCTTCTATTATTCGCGTGTTTAAAAAACGATACCTTAACACCGTATGCGTTGTCGTAGCCTCCCTTCATTTGCATCTGCGCCTGTATATTTGACAACTGTGCGCTGCTCATGTCTACATCGCCGCTGCTAATGTGTCCAGTGTGCCTAAAGTTCGTAGGTACTCCTATCATGCTACGGTCTATCCTCAGCCTCTGGTGTGACCTTTGCCTTCCATTGCGTGTCCTTGGACCTTGTTGCATCAGACAGCAGGTAAAGCACTGCATCCAAAGTTCTCCATTGCCAGCCATCGTTAGTCTTAGATGTATGTTTAGAAATCTAAAAGATTTTATAAAATATGAATGATCGTGTAATTGGCTTGTAGGGTCGTTCTTAAGCAATCAAATTTTTAAAGTATAATATAAAGCGAGATTATACGTATTGATTATAAAATACGATCGTGGAAACGTTTAATGTTCGAATATTGTTAATACCGGTTTGCATTTTAGAATGAGAATAGCCAGTATTGCAAAGTGCGAGGTATCAAATTTCAGACGATGAATCAAGCTAATTTTGGCAACGCTTCATAATCGAATTTGATGTTCCACTCGGTAAAAACCGATGAGAACAAACAGAGATTGTGTAGAGTTACTCACTTTAGTCAGTTTTCGGCATCGATTATTCTCGCTCCAATTTATTGCCTCATCATTATGCGAATGAGTCAGGCACACTGATCCGTGTTCGTACGCTTACCAAGTCATCAAGTAATCGTGCTATCGTTCGGTCTAACCTTCGCGATGGCTTGAAACTCGAAGCGGAGCAAAACAAACATTCCCTTCTGATCGATGAGTTTACATGTGCCTGTAAAGGACATCGAGAGGACTATTTGTACATTGCGCTACGGTACGAATCTGAACGATGACAACAACGACGAGTTTCGTGTCTCACGGTAGACGGAAATAATCGACCCGAGCACTTGAGAACAAAGAGAATAGGATGAGACGTACCGGTTCGCGCGATGTACGCTTTCGTATTTAATTCCCACAAGGCACGTATATCTGCTCTCCGCTTCTAAGCCGATCCCTGAACCATTCTGTGATCACTGAATCTCGTTACATGTTCTGTCAGCGTAACTTGAACTAGACCCTGCGATAATCACTCGGATCGGTTTGTTTCTAACTTCGAATGACGTTTAAAGAGGAATTCGAATTTCAGTGGAACCAAATGCCGAATGTCAACGTGATCAACAGTGATCAGTATATAGCGAATTGTAACCTACTGTATATATCGAAGAGCCGAGAAAATCCGAAGGAAGTCGAGGATTGTCGATCGCGACCAATCCATAGAGTCCCCGAGTGAGAACGAGAACTCTGGATCGTACCAGAAAACGACGAACGCGATACGCTAAATATAGAGATAATATTTCCTTGGATCAGGCAGTTGTATCAACGAGATCAGTATAAGAGCATGAATACGCTTTATTTAAATAAACTATATACAGGTTTCTTTCTCACATACAGACATTGTCGCATAATCGAAAATGCTATATACTTACTAAATAAAATATAAATTACCGTTATTAAGATCCTCGACTACAATAACATTGACTTTAGAGGCCTTTACTCTTGTGTGAATTAAACTGTATTAATTGTTGCAAATAGTCCCATTCTTTTGCACGTATCGAAGGTACTCTCAATTTTAATTAATTATCACGAGAATCCCTAAACTATCGTTCTGTCGATTTTGTTTCTCATTGAAAACAAATAGGGACAGAGATATTTTTATTTAAACAAGTATCATTGCGAAGAATAGAGATTAATTTTGTTCTCAACACAGATACCCCTGATAAGAGAGTATTCGTCGTTTCTATACGCGGAGTGCCTAGAAGATATAAAAAAGGCTGTTCGCCATGTATACAGACATGTATACATCGTAAATGTGAAATCGGAAAATGATTTCGTGTTCATCTTTTCATACCCGCTCCGATTCCTTCTCTTTAATATGCGGTGTCCCCGATCCGCGACAGTTTCGCGTCTCTGCTTTATAATAATAGATGTTATTTTAGAATTATCACAGTCTGTGTATTTACAGTATAAACGTTAAACATAACATTCTTCTTAAATTAATTTACTGACGTTCTTTCGTGTAGCGTTGTTTCGAAGAGAATCTCAAGGGAGACTTTAGTTTCATTGCTGCGCGTGGACGGCAGAGCATTACGAGAGAAAATGAGAAAAAAAGCGAGAAGACTCAATTCGTATAAGAGAAAATGAAATAAAAAAGGAAGGGAATACTTCAAAGGCATAAATATCGAAACTGACGTTTCTATATGAATATCTATCGAATAAATTTGCGTATGAAATAATATGAATAACTTAATTGATAGTTACATCTTATAGTTGGACATGTCTTAGTTTTATCTTGTATTTACACCTTAAATATTTATACAACGTTACGTGATAAAAATCTGAAACGTTCTCTCTTTAGCAAACCTATTTCTCGGTTGTTTTTTTTTCATCTAGACGTTAGCGAATTTGATTTCTTCAATGAACGAAGATCGATCATCTAACGAAGTAAGAAGTTTTTTCTATCGAAGTCGAACTACGAAGCAGAGTCAAAACACGTAAAAAAATTATTATATTTAAAAAGAAGGATAACAAGTCAAGAAATTCATCCGACTTGAATGATACCTTAACGAGAAAATAAAATACGCTTACTATTCTATAAGTTGAAAAGTATCGTTTCTTTGAGATATCACTTTCTTGTATTTTTCCGTACACAAATTAATCTGCTTCTCATATCATCGATCGCGTGGATTAATGCCCTGCCTCTCTTTCCTGTACCTCTTCTACGAAACTGAACTTAATAGAACCGTCTTTCCCTCATCAAACTCCGGTCGAATTCACAGGAATTGAAGACTCTCTGAAAAAACTATTTCCCTTGCGATCGAAAACTGCAAGATTCTTCCGATCAATCGGATATGCGGCTATTCCTCTCCGCGTCCACGCACGGTGCACGTCCTAAAGCGAGATTACTTGGTAGGAGACACCAAGTAAATAATTCTATCGTGCGAATCCGAGAAAATCCGTGAGTCTGTCGTTCCAGTCGTGAAGCCAATGGGTCGGCCCGTGGGCGGACTGCCTCTGCTTGCAGGGATTGATGTCTGTCTCCAGGGGCATGTATTCCTCGCCCCTGATACAGAAGTAACTCTTGATCGGGCTTCGACACATCGGACACCGGTCCAGTTTGCCGAAACACGACGCGCAGATGCACGTGTGCCTGCAGGGAAGAAGCGCGCGCGACAGAGGAAAGTATTGGCACACGACGCATAGTTGTTCACCGGCCGTGTTCCATAATGATCCTTCGGGATCGCCGGTGCCAGATGCGACCAAAGCACCCCTGGCCGAGCTGCCGTTGTTGTTGCAAGGCTCCGCGAGAGCCAGTGCCGAACCCAGGCCCGAGGACATGTCTCCTTCGTCGTAATTGGTCGAGTTGCCGGTGGCCAAGTACAATTGCTGTAGAAAGACGTAATGAAGAAAATTAATTCCTCGTTAAAACCTCGAACGACGATCTCGCTGCTGTCTTAGATTGAAGTGATTCGACTTTTAATTCTGACTTGATTTTAATTACCTTAAGACAGGACAACTGTCCGTTGGCTTGCTTTAGATACTGCGCCAGGATCGAGGTCGGCAGCGTGCACACGCTGTCTTTGATGTGAACGACGTTGACCAGAGCCACCTTCCAAATAAAAGAAAAATAGTTTATTGGTAGCAGTAGATAAATATTCAATGAAAAATGGCACACAATAGCGTACATTATGATACAGTTGTAAATCGGAATAATATACATATGTTCATTAAAGCGTTCATTAAACATACTCATTAAGAATGCACTCGCAAAACATGCGACTTCCTTTTTATTATTTAAAGACAATGAATTTGCTCGCTGTATTTCAGCCTCGATTATTACGGTCACCTACATCAATTGCTTCTGTTTCAACGAATATCCGTCGACGAAAGAATTATTTTAAACAGTATAATAAGATTTATGACCATTTGTGCATATTGTTTCTTTTTACCGCAAACGAATGTACTCTACGGAAAAGATTGGAAAATAGAATGTAAAAAATACCCACAGTTTCGTCGGGATGTGGATCTCCGTTATCCCTACGTGTCAGGAAGATCACCAGAGGATAACAAAGTCGCGGTGGTGTCCCGAGCTCCAACTCCGGTGCTGGAAGCGACAGTCTCAACGTTTCTTCTCCGTGAGGCTCTCTACTGTATCTTGCAGTCAAGGAATAATTTGAGACATCGTTACTAAATGAACGTTGGATAAAATGTTCATGTATCAATAAGTAGCATAAATTAAATAAACATCCGCAGTTTATTTTTAACACGAAAATTACGACGCAACGTTCTCGAGGCACGCATGACAATTAATAATTGAATGTTCACTGAAGGCCGCGGTCACGATTTCGATAATATGATTGAACGATAGAAGTTTTTCGAATACTAGCAAAAGGATACGTTTGCGGTGGCGTGAGGTATTGCGCGTGGCCTTGAAGGAGAGTACCATTCAAGGAAGCGTCTCTGAGGGTGCTCCAAGGTTTCCAAAGCGCCAGGTGAAGTTCCCTTATGCTGACACCCCAGAGAGCCTGCAGAGAGTACTCAACCTGACTCGATACTTCGCATTCAACCTCTGGAACAAACAAGGAAAAAGTAACACTTAAATATCGGTGCACAGAGTACTAACAGAATATGTTCAAATGTTTATTATCAATTTGAACGTCGATCCATTCTCGTACGAGTCATTAAGAATTACACAAAATTCTCTCATTGTTGCATTCATATNATGTAATATTTAGTAACTGTTAAAATTTCAATACTTTGTCATTGTTTTTATGTAAGGGTTCATACAACCTTAAGAAGTGATCAAGATCTTATTAGAACAACCTGTGTTTCAAGTCGCCATATGATGGAGAACATAATTATCAGATTAGATTAAATGAACGTATTCTTGTATTACGACTAAATTCAGATTCTATAATAGCATTCGGACGATAAGTAGACTAGACAGTACGATAGGATACGATGATGCTGCTTTGTCTCGCGTCGTGACGTTACTTAAAATGGCAATTACGTAATGAACCCACTCTCGACGTCTTTCTTCCCTCTCGTCTGGCTTCAAGTATAATAACTCCGGCGACCAACGGGGTTTCCAGGTCACGCGTGAGAGGAAAGGCATACTTCCTTCAACTTCAATTCGCGCGAAATTGTTTCTCTACGGAAACCGGTTAAGAAGTTTGCTAATTCCATCGGGTCATCGGACAGCAATAAATATAATTCTCATTTTCATATCCCGGTCATAGTTTTCTTCTTTGCTAATTATCATGCTAATTCGATTTGTCTAATAATAATAATCTTGTTGTTACATCTCGCGCAGCACGTTAAACATTCATGATAAACAACGTGTCTATTCCGGGAATACTATATAGCTGTGTTTTTTAAAACTTTTTACCCAGTCCATATTCGTGTCGTACGACTTAATTATTACTCCGTACACTATCGACAGACCTTGTCACACTTATCTACGCTAATAAGACGACAGGTAGCTCGGTTTCTGCTGCGAATTGACAGAAGGAAAATATTTCCCTGGTGCGTACGCTAAGAAAGTGAAGGCACCTAAGTCAGGGGATCTCGACTCGCGTAATCCTTCGCGAGATTAAACAGGCAATTGGAGGGTAAAAAATTCTCGTTATTCGCGGAGAGGCCACTGTCGAGGAGATTGTTCTCAGATCACACGAGGCCAGCGCGGACGAAAGTGAAAGCTGCCGAGACGGATCGTCCAATGCGGTAGTCTCGCGGCAAAGTATTAAATCAGCCGGCCGTTTCACGGAGCCATGAAAAGGCAAAGATCTCTGTTGCTTTCGCGCAAGGACAGTTTTCGACGACAAACTAGAATCTATCATTTAGCGAGAGAATTATTTTCCTCACTAAAGATCTACGAGCCGGCTGATGAATATTCCGCGCATTGACCTTCTTGCGATTAATAAAGGTACATCGCAGGTTGATACGTATGAGATGTCTCAAACGATTTTAGACGTGACGCCACGTGCAAATGAAGCTGGTCCAAAATCGTTTGAGGTATCTCAGACAATTCATTTTTTCCCACACTATTCGCTCTCTCCACTTTTCGTAAATGTAATTACGCGCCTGTCTGTATGTGACATATAGCGTCAAGAGTTTCCACCTAACCTCACGCTGAGAGCCGTGACTCCCGAGAGACACTTTTGTCCATGTCTGGTATGTGTACACATAATTGTACAGAGAAACGTGATGTCTCCGGTGGCACGAACCGACCAAACAATTCCACAGCTACCAGATAATTTCGTGTTCGCATAAACAACGAATTCCATCGTGGAACCGATCACGGGAACATGTCACGTGTCGAGAAATGCAGGAATCGCGAAACGTGACCGATGCTATTAATATCGCGTTCTCTTAATCCAGTATAATAAAGTTGCAGTCGAAGTAATCTTTACGGTTCCCTTCGACTATTATGCGACGCGACCTCCTATTACATCTGCGCCGCGCTAAGTCGTGATGTAACGATTCAAGGAAAAGTTCTAGGATGGTGCAATGGTCGAAGAGATGGTGATATCATACGCAGCAAATTTCGACTCGGGTTTCTCAAATATTTCCCATTTTATTGCTTAATGCTGTTTCGAGTTCAAGCATGACCGGTCAACCACGACCGATCTTGCTACCAAAGCGTTGCAACGGGCTAAGTAATCTGGGTCAGGTCGTGGACGATATCCTCCAATTCCCTGGAAACGCGAATTCGCAGGGTAAACCAAGTTTCTCCACGTACCGAAGATCCATTCCAAAATCATCTTCCTCTTCGTCTTAATTTGAAGTACAATTTTATTGGAATTTTGGATGATGATTCTTTGTATTATTGACTCGTTATACATGATTTATCCCATGATTTATATAAAATGGCACGACGCTAATCTCTGTTCCTAACGACACGCGACGACGGTGACACAGTACGAAGGTAGGATACAAGTGGACAGCCGCATGAGAAATTCGGTGAAAGGCCAGCGAAACAACCGCAGAATGCACGCTCCTGCGCGTACGGTACGTTCGCGAAAGGTGTAACAAAGTGCACGTATACCGTGCACGCGATCCACTGCATCCGTGGAACGATAATGGATCGGTTGCGTTGACAATATGCCATTTACCCGAGTGGGAAACTGGTTTTTACCATCCGTGCGTTCCAAGTTCCAAGTGTTCGATTTAAAGGACTGCAATTAACCTAAATTCCAGAGAACGGTTAGGCGGCTTCGTTTTTTGGCGACCCTCTAATGCGCTCTAGACCGGCAATATCACAATAGATGAATAGCAGACGTCTGGTAGAATACATTTTTATAGAAAATGTTAAATTGCATCAACCAGTGGATAAAAAAAATATATAATTCTATTTAAAAGAAGAGGAGATGACTAAGAAATCTCTGTAATTCTTCCATGTACAAAAATACTTCTATCGAAATTTCCTTTAAACCTAAGCAATTATTCCTGATCTAACTTAAGCAAATATTCAAGTATTAAAAATTAATGGTCAGATGATTGACAAAATCTGCGGATATTCGAAGCGGGGACGTCCCCAAGGGAAAAAAGGTTCGTTCATTAAAAGTCGATAGAAACGATGTGGAACGGTCGATTATCAAATATCGTTGCATAACCCGGACAGACCCGTTAATCCGTTCGCCTGGTTGCACCAGCTGCTCGTGGAAATCGGACCACTTGTTCGCGTGTACATACAGTGACCACAATAAGTACCGACACGTACGCCCTATTCCTCGATGAAGCATTCCTCGATCAGGTTTCAAGCTTCGTTCTCGCGTTGCTGAATTCGATCGTAGGAAAGTGCTACCGACGGACCGGAAATTCAACGCATAGTCGTTGCTAATTGACGCTTAAATACCGAAATAAATGAGGTAGGAACGGCGATACTTGTGATATTCACTGTACGCGTCTGTCTCTTTCAGGCAAACGCCGCCGGGAGCTGGCCGAGCGCGAACTCGCGATTACCGTAATACCGGCGCGTAACTTGGAGAAATTACGAAATTATTCTTCCTCGCTTTTTAGCACCGTCGACAGATAAAAATAGAGTCGAAGGTCACCGGTCAAAATCCAACTACGACCGCCGTCGATATTTGCCAATCAGGGGTTGAAAGAGTCATGGAACTCTGAGACGAATGTGCAATTTGGCAGTGGATGAGGTAATTATGCATCGATACGAGATTGCAATCTAACTCCTTTTCCTTACGATAAGTCAAATTAAATTAATATTATTGTAATTTCATTCATGAAAAAATAATAGACAATTTTCTAGAGAAATTAAAAATCCAGAAACTACGCGACCTTTCATACAGTCTAATACTACTCATCTTAATTATTCCTAGTTTTCTAGTAGAGGAAGAAGGTTTGAATGGAAGAAACAAGAGGACGGATTTAATCAATCTCGGTAGGTCTTTCAAATCTCCGATGTTCCTCGTTGTTATTACCGAGGTTCCATCAACGCGCTGTATACTCTTTTGTCTCGTCGACGAGTTATTGCGTGCCTTGAGAGTAGTTCTCGAGGCTTCTTTTTCTTCGTTTCCAAGCGTGACTCAACCTTTCAACGCCGAGTGTTCCAAGCAATAGAACTAACGACGATCTGCTCGATCTTTCGACGTTTCGCTGACAGACCACATATAACACTCTTTGAATAATCAGGAAAAAAAATGGTAGAAAATGTTTATTTATTGCAAGTCAGGTAGTGATTATCTCCGACATAATTAAAGAGGGACATCATTTGTAGTTTTTTCTAACTTGTAAGATTAATGGTAATCACAAAACTGGAATTTATTTTCGAAATACACGTGGCATTAAATGAAAAAGTGATTATACAAGTGATAAGTGAAACACGTTTAATCGGTTTCATTTATCCTCGTCTCTCGATTACCCATCCAATTACCAATTTATTAGAAAAGAAACAAGAACGTGGCAAAATTAAATTCTAATCCAGGCATGTCAAACACGCGGTCTAATCATTTTAAAAATCGCGTTTTATTAATTTTTTGAACATTGGAAACATGCGGTCCTCAACTTAAATACAAAGTAGATCATGTGGCCCGTAATATCATATGAGTTTTACATGCCTGTTTTAATCGGACGCCGAATACGGTGCGCACACTTGGCACCGACGAAAAGGCACGCGATAAATCCTAACGTGGAACGCGTGTTCACAGAATCAGAAAGACATCCATAAACACCATGTCCGATCGTATCTGTTCATCCTTGATCGTACGCACGGAGTGTCACGTAGGCAACGCGAGATACCATTTTCTCGTTCGCCATTCCGCACGAGAACTCCGTGATACGGTGTGGACCAGCAATATTCCACATTCCAACTGGTATGGAAACCGTTGCCCGATCGATCAAATGAACTCGATCCAAAACCGTCGTACGTTCCCAGCCTTGAGGCTGAAATGATGTCGAAATCTACGCGCAGAAGCCGGTTGGTGAACGCGAAAACGTACGTCCGGTCATAGAAACGTCGAGATTCGACCCACGTTTGTTTTCTCTACGAAATATTCAGTAGAGAATGAAGGCTTTCAAAAAAAAGACAGAAAACGTTGCATTAACACTAAT